GCTATGGCCTTAGGGGCTATGATGGTTATAATTAAGGCTACTTACCTCTCTCTTTCTATGGAAGATTTTAGTCCTCTGGATTTTTCTGAAAACACAATTTCAAAAAATTCATAACTTTTCTACTCTTTTTGTTGTGCTGTTCTTTCTCTTCAGTGTCACTGTGATATATTTGAGAGTCTGTTGTAGGCCACCAAAGAAAACATCACCGTGTGAACTAATCCTCCCAAACTGTGTAGATTTGCTTTCCTGATCCAGATCTCATTGCTCAAGCTGGAGGTCCTCATTCCTGCTGTGTTATTGACAAGAAGATTTCTTCTTTATATCTTTGATGTTATTTCTCAATCTACTGCATAATGAACTTTATGAAAATCTGAAACATTATTACTCTTTCCATGGAAAATGTTGGTCTCCTTAATTCTACTGAAGAGATTGACTTTCACTGGCAAACTCAGAATTTTAGGATAGTTTAATGTTAAGTCCTTTTGTGCCCTCCACTGTCATCACTGATAGCCTTGAGAGGTTGTCCTGGCCACTAAAGAACAAAACAACATGTTAAAAGCACTTTTGTTTCAGTGCAGAACTAAGTCTCTCTGATCCAGAATTTCATCACTCAACAGGGCATTATTATCACTGCTACAATAACAGAATGGCACTGAATTCCTTAACCCTTCTCTGGCATTTCTGAGATATTTTTAATAAATTTTATTCACGGACCTACCAAACTAGACTTCATTTCTTTTCTTCTATTAGACACATTTGAATTTATGTTGTTAAAAGTAAAACTTGTAAAGATATTTCCCAGGAAAATACGCACCTCTTACCAGTGTTTCCTTAGATATGAATGTCATGGAAGTTTAAATAACACACATTGTGGTTTTCATCAGGTTTAAACTTCTATTATTATATGACATTCATTGGAACAAATAGTTTGACTATTTCAAATTTCAAATATGTTTGACATCTCCTTTCATCTACATAATTTTTTGTTGGTGTGCTGAAGATAGCTCAAACTAGCTCTTAACGAGCTAATTTAGAGCATCTCTTTCCAATTTTGTGCTAAGTGATATCACATTTTTAGGTTGAAAGAGGCTGTGATGAGAGTATTTATACCATAGAAATCAGCAACTGCTCTATGTTACACTTTTTATTTTAAAGAAAAGGTTTCTTTCTCCCTGTTGGCAATGTCTACTTAGAATTAGAAACAATATTGAGTCACTAAAAATCTTCAGTATATACAAAGAAGTGTGGAAAATGTAAGAGAATGAAGCAATATTACAAAAATTCATGGTCATATGAATATAAAAAAATTGAATTGATCTAGTTGGATATAGTCAGAATGGTAAAAAAAAGGGGGGGCATTTCTTGTGAATAGGAGAATAAAGAAATACATATAGAATAAAGAATAGCATACTTCTTACCCTCTCTGCTGAGGCTTGATGGATAGAATAAAACTCATTTTAAGAAGAACCATTTCAAAATGATTGGTTGGTCTTATCCTATGTGTGATGAGAAGGAAACGTGAAGATTCCGAGGCTCCATGAATTTTGAGAACATTATAAAGACCGGTGTGCAGCTTGTTCTGTGCCTAGTGAGAGAAACCCATGTGGGCAATGAGTTATTTGAAGTAGATTTACTACCTGCAGATCAACAGCAAGAAATACCAGAAGCCCAGGACCCATGGTGAGCTGGTTCTCCATGGCTCAGGAGCACTGCCGGGGCAAGGAGTCTTGACTGTGTGGCCCAGGGACAATTCAGCTGATGGACCCTGAGAAGCAGCCCACCTAGGCTACACACCTGGGGTCATGAGAGTCTCTAGGACAGCCTGCAAAAGAGGAGAAGAGTTCAAGGATTTTCCAGCCAGTCCCCTTTCTCTTTAGTTGTATTCCCTGAACATCTACAGCTCTCCTTGAGAACTATGTTGAAAAAAAGGAACTATATTGATCTAAAGCCTCTGGAGAACTGGGTTGCAAGGGATAATAACAAGACTAGGAAAGGAGAAAAAGAAGATTATAAATGAAGAAAAGACAGATAATTTAGAAAACTTAGATTTATATTTTATATGTATTTATACTATTATATATATATATATTATACTATTATATATATATTTATATATTATATATTTAATTTGAGACTTAAATTTAAAATTTTTAATACTATCATTCCTTACTATTTCAGTCAACTTATTTCACATCTACTCAGGGTGAACATCTAAGGAGATATTTAGAAAACATCCTCCAACTTGCCTCATGAGCAGCTAAAGAAATTATTTACACCTGTGGGTGACAGAATTTCCAAAACTAGATTTGAGACTGTATTTTGACACTGTGTTTCTGATTATTTAAAGCTAGCTTTTAATACCTTAGGTTCTGAAATACAGTTAGACTCCAAACCTAAGTATATAATTATTTCCATTTTTTATCCTGTAAGTGATTTTGAATAGAGTATATGTCAGGTGCAGTGGAGTTTAGTATGTATATTGAACTATTTATGAAGGTCTTCAACATTTTAAATAAATTTAAAGAAAAATCATAGGTCATTACATTATTTACAAATGTAAAGACAGTAATGTTATAATGTTAAATATTATATTTTGATAGTAAAGACTATGCAACTAAATAAGTTTTTCTTTCGCTGATTATATATATGCATATATATATTTGATTATATATATATATATATAGAGAGAGAGAGAGAGAGATATTTGATTTTTCATAATGAAACTTAGGTCCAATATTTCCTGTCCATTCATTTTACAACAAACGTAGTTTGGGCTCTTTTTATCCATGTCATTAAACTGTTCTTACTCTCGATATTTCACACAGAATCCACCCTGAATATCAAAATGGAATTCTAAAATGTTGCTTTCATCAGGTCCTTCCTTCCCTTGAAATAAAAAAAGGAGGTAATTAAACACAAAATCCTCAGCTTAAAAATCAATCAGGTCCTCCCTGACGGGTTTCCAAAGTCTTCATAATCTTCAATTACGTTTTTATCGACTGCTGTACCAAGAGTGAGCTGCTCTGTGACGCGCCACCTGGTTTTGCCTCTGCTCCTGGTATCCTGGCATGTCCCCACCCCTTCCTAACTCCTGATCCTACCCAGTCCTACCTTATTTGAAAATCCATGTAAACCACACTAATTTTGTACTGGCTGTGAAATAAATGTCTTTACCCCTTATTTCACTATTAATGCATAATGAATTATTTCTATATAATTGATCTTCAAGAAGAAGGTGTTTAAGAATCATCTAAAATTTCATCCTGCTCCTTTTCAAATAAAAATTTGAAGTATTCTGTATGGAATGCCTACTATTTTATCTATAACATAACATTTTAAAGGATTTTATAACAGTTTCACAAACACATAACATAAACACACTCTTGCTTTTCCAAGGTGTTATGCTAAGCCTCTGCCATCTGATGTCAGACTGTACCTTCCATCTGTTGGCATTCAAACTGGAGGATATGTGTGCTAGATATGGAGATCCTCTCTCAAATTACTCTTCCAAGAAGGAGTCACTGCCTAGGAGCATGACAAGATGCTAGTACTGCCAGGGTCTAGGTCAGGACTGGAGCCAAGACACACTCTCTAGGATAGCCACCAGCCAATGGCTGGATGCAGTAGCTTTGCTCAACATGGGCCTTCTTTAAAGGCAATCTTTGCTCAGGAGTTCCTACTGGCTTGGAGAGATTCTGTAAGGTCAGTGTTAGGGTCTCATGGATCCCCTGCTCCACCAGTAACTTCATCTCAAATGTCTGAGTCTTGGAGAATCAACATGTTACATTGGAATCATAAATAAATAAAAAGTAAAACACAAAGGAATCTGACCACCAGGTGTCAGTGTGAAATGGGCAAGGAATTTAGAATACAATCCCCCTTACCTGAGGATTCCCTTTCTGTAGTTGCTATTACCCAGGACCAACTGTGGTCTAAAAATGTTAATATTTTACTCTTTCAAGAGAGAAAGAGAAATCATACTTATGTAACTTTAAAGATGTTGATATGATTGTTCTATTTTATTAAGAGTTATAGTTAATCTCTCACCATGTTTAATCTATAAATTAAACTTTATCTTAAGTATGTATATATGAGTAGGGTTTGGTACTATCTGGTTCCTGGCATCCACTGGAAGTCCTCGAACCTATCTCTACTAGATATCTCTACTAGATAAAGGTGAGCAACTGTAGTCGGCCACTAGAGTTGTGGATAACATGGGTAAAAATCACGTAAAGACAAGATATATTTTTCCCCAAGAGAAAATATCTGTGATAAAGATATCAACTTCCAGTTTTAAGAAATATGAGACATCACGTTTAAACAGAAAGGATGTCCCTGCAAGGGAATCATAGGAAGAAAACTGTGCTCTCTTGTGCTAGAGCAGATCTATTCCCTTATAGAATTCGGTATTTACAAGTATTTACAAAATTCTTATAGAGTTTTAGTATTTACATAGGTGGATATGAGGTCACAGCACAGAATATCCAATAAGGAGGGTGATTGTGAATTGCCCATGTTTTTCTGAATAAATGTTCTCTGTCATCTAATTGATTATAAACACGTCTGTTTCTTAATGACTTAATCATTTAATTTTAAACAAAAGGAAGAGGTTAAATTATTTAGGGAATAGTAAAAGCTACAAACTATCATGTGACAATTAAAAAAAAAACTTCAGAAAACAAAAGAAATCTACCTAGTGGAAGAAAATTAGAAAGATTCAATTTTAATGTAAAAGTAAATTTTAAAAATCAGCTCTGACACTAAAAACATTATCAAAATGAATTTTGGGTAAGGGATATTAAACCAAATTCAAAGGAAAAATGTTTCGCGACTTATCCTTGGAACTACACGTAAGACAGGTATGTCTTATTAGTATTGTTTTTCATCATGGAGAGATATTTAAAGAGAATGTCCCTCCTTTGTTGTGGTTTGCCACAGCTGCACTGAAAAAGTATAAAAGTCCAGGACACAGGGTGACATCCATTCTCAGGAAGCTCACCTTCAACTTCAGACCCAGTCCTCAGCCTCTGACACAATGAGCTACTACTATGGCAACTACTATGGTGGCCTGGGCTATGGCCTTGGTGGCTTCAGTGGCCTGGGCTATGGCTATGGTTCCCTCTATGGCCTTGGGGGCTCTGGTGGTTATGGCTATGGCTACTTCCGTCCCTCTTTCTATAGAGGATACTATTCATCTGGATTTTACTGAAAAAGTTCGGCATTACTGCTGAACTCAGAATGTTTCTCAAATTTTAATCCTATAGTCCTCTCTCTCTCTCTATTTTTAAGATCATATCACCATGCATTGATGCCATTGCAACCATGGGAATCCATGTCTCTGTTAAAGGATTCAACTGTTCGATTTGCACTTCATTAACTCTTATTAGTTGTGATGGGTTGGCTCTCTGCCTTTCCCTTCTGTAACATTTCTGGAGTTTTCTTCTAATAAATTTTCATTTTGAATACATAATATCTGGTGTCATTCTTCATACTTTTAAGTACAATGGATTTTAAGGAATTTTTTAATTAAAATTACTTGTGCCATGGAATTTTTACTTGGTAATAGTATAGCTTAGAAATGAACATCAATAAAAATACAAGCAAGTAACTAACTGCGTCAGATCAATTTTGCTATGTTGACACTTTTTTTTTTCATACTGTAATGCTATTCCACATAACTAAATAAATTCAGACTTAATAGTACTTAGAATAATAACGTTCTTTATAATATTTAAATTCTCAGCAGCATCTTTTATTTTCAATACAGTCATGAATTATTAAAAATTTTAATGCTATGTAAGGAAAATCATCTTTCTTATAGATGTTTCTTTCTGAACTGAGCATGTTCAAGAGGGAATTCATCTGAACCTCTTGGCTTTGGGGGCCTCCTTGGAAGTCAAAGGTGTAGAAGTCTGTTGCTCTATTCTATTTGCCCTAACAAAATCTCTGACCCTACAAAATAAGAATAATATAGTTTGAATAGTGTTATCTCAAAATTTGAGTACTTCTGAAAACATAAGAACGGGACTTTATTTGGAAGTATATATTTTGCAGATCAAATTAGTTAAAATGAGGTCATACTGGAGAAATGTGTGCTCTTAATCAAATGTGATTAATGCACAATGGCCTCCCCCTTTTCTGTGAGGAATATTTTGATGGATACCCCAAATTATGGATAGTACCGAACTCTGAATATACTGGTTTTTTTCCCTATACATGCATACCTATGATAAAAGGCAATTTATAACAATAAGATATCAACAATAGTAACTAATATTAAAATAGAATATTTATAACTATATGCTCTAATAAAAGTTACTATATCTCAAAATAGCCTACTGTACTGTACTGTACTGTATTTTCAGACCCCAGTTGACTAATAACATTAGTCATATTCCATGTGACTACACAGGAGAGATTAGAGTGAGATGTCGACTAGTCAAGGAAATCTTGGCTTCTGGTACAAACAGAGGCTAAAAGACAGACATGAACAGATTCTCCTGTATGATCTTTGAAAAGAACATTGTCGTTTTCTTGACATCCTGATTCCAGAAGTCTAGCATTCAGAATTATTGTTTGAAGGCAAAATTTTTGCTGTATATGTTTATACTGGGAATTGACCCTAGAGTTATTCTACCCCAGGCCTTTTTAATTTTTTTTTAAATTTTGAGACAGGGTCTAAGTTGCCAAGACTGGTCTTGAATGTGCGATCTTCCTTCCTTAGCCTCCAAAATTGCTGGGATTATAGGCATGTGCTTCAGTGTCTGGCAATATTTTGTGGTTTTAAGCTTACCACTTTGTGGTACTTGTTGCAGCAGCCGTAAGTATCAGATAGTCTGAGATTTCTCTATCTTGCCCAACATTTCTGGTTATTTCAGGACTGTAGCATATGCTATGTAAGTTTTGAGATAAGATCTTTTTAAATTTTCTTTTTATTTAAAAACTTAGCAGTTGATTATGAATTAATGTTTCTGTATCTTCTTCTACTTCCAATTGAGCACTGGTATTTGTTTCTCATTCTTACTATATTGGAATCTGTTCCAGAGGAAAAAATCATTGACTCTTGCCTATGCTGAGTCTTCCCTGTTCAGTCCTATCTGAATGATTTCCATTGTCTCTCAACAAAATGCATGAATTTCAAGTGGTATTACAGGTCCCAAGTGATTTGCAAAGGTGCATGTTCAACAATGAGTTCATCCACTGAGAGATAAATGTTGTCATGGAACATTCCTTTGATGATATAAAAGTAGAAAATCTTAGAAAGGGACACATTGACTCCAACCAAACAGCCTCTTCAATCAGTTCTATAATGAGTTTTTATTTTGCACCCAAAATATCCAGCAAAAATTTTTAACTTAGGGAGTACATATTTTCACTCATGAAGATTTTTTAAAAGATTGCTTTATGAGTCCCATAGTGTACCTTTTAAGATGAAATTAAAGGAAAACTGGAGATTGCTAGAAAATAAAACATAGGTGGATAGTGTTTGTATAGAGGAAGCATGATTTTCCCTGTGTCATAAATTTGAGGATGAGTATACTATGGCTGTTCATAGTTTATTTTTTATTTTTGCTTATACAAAAATTGACATACATTAGTCAATAAAAATTACTACAACTAATTGGTCTGTTGTGTGCAATAAAAAGTACTATTGGGAATAAAAAATAGAAAAATTGATCAAATAGACATGAATTCAAACAATTGTACAAGTTACCACCAGGAAAAAAATAAAAACAAAACAAACAAACAAAAACTTCACATTTGAACTGTATATGGAAAGTCATATAAATAAAGAATATTTTTTTTGTCATGACAATAAAGAATAAAATGAAAGGCTCATGGAATTATCGAGATGTTAGAGGAATAATATTTGATTAGCAAGAATACAGTTCAAGAGGAACTATGTATAATAAAAATATTTTTTCCATATTATCTTAATTTTATTGCTAAAAGGGAATAGCACAGAATAAAAAAAACATAGATATAAAAATAATAGTTCATATCCAGGTATAGTATGGCTTTAATAAGGTTGGCACAGAATATGTTATAGCAAATCATATTCTTTCCTCGAATTTGGTAGGTTGAGTAGAAATAAGTAGACATATTTTAAGAAATTAAGTGAAAAGACCAAATAAGAAATAAGAAAGAGGTATGAAAAAAATTCAATAAGAGCTTGAAGTTTTCAGATTCCATTGCTTTATAGAAAGTGTTACTGATACTAAAAAGAGGGGTAGAAACATCCATGTAACATAAATACATTTCATTGTGAACAACAGGTTTTATACCAGTGGCAAAACAAAGTTGGGTGGTAGAATAGGTGTGGTCTGTATTCAGAGAATAATGGAGTATATTACCTCTAGAAAATTCATTAAAAATAGAAATACCGGTTAAAAGTATTCTTTTAAAAAATTATATTGGGAAATTTAAAATATATAATAAAATACTTCTAACTTTCTCACTAAAATTATGACACAAAATTCCTCAAAAATATTATTTTTCAAACTCAATAAAGATATTTAATAATATGGATACAAACTTAAAATTAGTGTATATCCTTTACTTATCTTTTAGTATAATTTGTATTATACATGGGAAATTATTTTGGCAAACTCCCACATACACAATTTGTCTTTAGCCCATGCAGATTTAGATAAACACATTCACATGAAAATACATCTGTAAAAGCTCAGGTTATTGGTCCCTACTCAGGGGTAGTTTCTAAGTCATGCAATATCTACACTTGTCTCTTTTTAAACAGATATTTAGTGTTATTGTGTTTTAATTTGTATTTTTCTAATGACCAATTATGCTGGTCATATTTTACTATGCCTATTTCCTATCCATCTATAATTTTCTTTGGTTAAATGAATGGTAGAACTTCTGTTCATTTGAGCAGCATAAACATGTGTTTGTCTTAATTATTTTACACATGTATGTCCAAATGTGACAATAAATTTATTAAAATGTCTATTCTTTCTCTATGAAATTGCCATCCTACTCTTACTGTAATCTATTGACCATATTTATTTGAATCTATTTCAAATACTGTCTGTGCTGATAATTAGTATATATAAATATATACTGTTTATTATATATATAGTAATTACTAATATTACTTTTTACTCTTTATAAAAATCCATAAATTTAATTCTATTTTTTCTGTTATTAAAATAGCTACTTTAGATTTATTTTGACTACAATATACATGTTATACCTTTCTAGATCTTATTTTTTTACTGACATATGCTTTTAAATTTAAGGTGAATTTCTTAAAGACAACATATATTTTTAACTTACCTCTTAAAATCTAAAGTGATGATGTCTCTCCTATTTAGCATTTAGTTCACATTTTATGTTATTGATACACTTGGGTTAAAATCTGTCTCAGTGAGCTCCTTTCTCTTTGTTCCATCTGTTCTTGTTCACACACGTCTTCTACTAATACATTTTCTGTCTTCAGCTAGTTTTGAATTTTTAGAAAATTCTCTTTTATCTTATTAAACTCTCATTTATGCATTTTAAAAAGTTAGTCATTCTCTTACCATACTGTCTGCATGTTATAAAATATAACTTCCATTCCTGCCTCCCATCATTTTTGCTATTGCTGTCAAATATTTTGTTTTCACATAAAGTGCACATAATCATTACATTAAAATATTTTTGCATTAAGAAGTCAGTTTGATTCAGAAAACATTAAAAAAATGAATATTATTTTTCCACCAACTATTTTATTTTCAACACTCAATCTCTTTGCATAAATGCAAGACTTTTTGATCTGTGATAAGTTGCAGGAGATGACATCCTTCACTATGTTTATGCTTCTGTGTCAGGATGTAGACAAGTTGAAAGGAAGACCCTGAAGGAGATCTTAGCCTACCTGTTATCCCACGTCACAGCAGAGAAGGCAGAGCACACCTCCACCTTGCAAATCTCATGCAAAATGCCATGATGGCCCAGAACTATGTAGGGAAGTGTAAACTTGGAAAAGTGGTAACACCTTGGAGATGTTGCATATCCCCTCGGGGAGCTTTTTCCTAAAAGGCAATTTGGGGAATACTGAGGAATTTTGCCTCTTCAAATGATGGTGGTTGACACACTGTCATACAGAGTATGGAAGGAGAAAAGATGAATAGTATTTATCCACTATTTTTTCTGAATATATTCTCCATGTGAATTGAAATTAGTTTTACTCATTCACAAAGATGGACTAATTTGTATGCCTTTCTATGTAATGCTAGAGTCAAATGAAATATATATTTTAAAACAGATAACTGTATATGGAAATATATGCAGCATCACTTGGAAGT